TTTGGAGAGTGATGATGATGTTCCAGAAGAAGACAACTTCACTATATTTGAATCAATGTAGATGGTTGTACTTTAAAAAAATAACACAACCCCTGAAAATAAGCCCCAGCATGTCTTCTTGAGGAAAAATAAATATAAGACCTGTCTTGTTTACGGGGAAACACAGTACTTGGGATACAGCCACGTCTGTCCACCCACGGATTCTCACATGCATGACCCCACAGTCCCCCAGCCTCCCTGCCAGCCCAGGGCATGCTTCCTCCACACGGCTCCTCCCCACAGCTCTGCACGTGCCCTCTCAGCCTGACCTACAGGTTTCTCTCTTACAGACAGTAATAAAAGGACATCCATTCTCTCTGGACCTGCCGTTGACCAGCGAGGAATCTGTGTCTGCCAGAGGGAGACTTGCTCGTTGCAGGTTAGTGATTACAAATGGTTCTCCCCTGGTCCTCAAGTGGAGTTGGTGGTCTGTGTCACATGGAAGAAGCAGCCTGTTCCCCACGGTCTGTGTCCCACAGGAAGGGGAGGCTTTCCCACAGGAAGGGGAGGCTTTCCCACAGGCAGGTAGGAGGGGGTGTGCAGGGCCTGGCCAGGCGAGGAGGAGTTTGTTGCTACAGGACATGCCAGCCAGGAAAGGGCTTGACCTTGACCTTGGCATCAGAACCCAGGTAAGGGTGGCACAGGGATGGCAGGGGAGGCACGTACAGGGATAAAGGCAGACACCCGACTTCCACGTGGTACACCAGATGGATGTGGGCACCGAGGAGCCAGGCAGAGCTTGGTGAGCACAAGTCACCGGTGCGTACCTCCCACCGACGGCTGTGTTGCTACTCCCGGAGCAGGCTGGGCCCTGCGTCTGGGCCATGGCCGAGCCCCCAGGCCTCCTGCAGGTGTGCGTGGGGATGGCCTGGGACCAACCAGCCCAGGAGTTTGTTCCCAGCCCCACTTTGCTCACGAAATTCTTGTTACCCACTTGATGACCAGGTTTGTGCTTTGGAAATCCTACCCTATCTCTGTGCTAGGAAAGGCAAGCGTGTTTGTGGCTGGTCGTGCCGTTGTTTCACTAAGGGGGGGGGGAGTCTGTCCTCCCCACTCCCTTTCGTCCAAAGACCCAGGACTCTTTGGCCAAACTCCTTTTAGTGCTGTCCTGTCCTGGGGCTCTCTTCCCATACCGTGGCTCCTCCCTTAACCGCTTTGCTTCCTGTTCTTTCAGCAGTCTCCCTGCCTCGGTGCCAGCTTGCGGGTGAGCCAGCTCACGGGTAAGCTGGCTCGTGTGACCACACAGGCAGAGTGAGGGCGCTGGGAGGTGGAGCGGGGGATGCCACACTGTGGGCTCTGGGGCCAACCCGGCCCTCTCCCTGTCTCTGCAAATAAAGTTTTATTGGAACACAGCCATGCCTGCATATTTACACACTGTCTGTGACTGCGTTTGTCCAGCAGAGGCAGAGTTGAGTAGTTCCAGCAAAGACCTGTGACCATCAAAGCCTAAAATGTTCACTATAGGACCTTTCACAAATGTTGCTGACCCATGTAGTAGAGCAATGGTGGGTTGGAGCCAACACACGTGACTTCAAACCCTGGCTCTGCACTTTCTAGCTGGGGTGTGCAGGGAGCCACTCTGGACTTCAGGTTCCTCCTCTAGGGAGCAGGGATGATGGCCCCTCTGCACAGGGCTGGTGCAGGCCTCAGCAGACAGGAAACACGAGAGCCCTTCACACACTGCAGGCTGCTGCGTAGACGTCAGATGTTGCGATTTCTTCCTTTCCCCCTGAGCCTTCCGGGTTGCTCCAGTTCCTTAATTTGATTCTCCTTGGTTATTTCCGTGACTGTGACTGCAGCTATTAAAACCTGCAATTTGCGGGCAGAGCTAATGCTAATTTTCTAGTCAGCCTACCTTTCTGCAGGCTGTCAAATGGCAAGGCTATTTTTAAATAAGCATGGATTGTGTAGAAGAATTGGTTCATGAATGAAACCCACAATCATATATTTTACTCCAAGAGTTTAAAAAATTCATTTCAACCTCTGTGAAAAGCAATACGAAGATACCTTAAAGCAATACAGGTGGATCTACCATTTGATCCAGCAATACCACTAATGGGTATCTACCCAAAAGAACAAAGGACAATCTACAATAAAGACACCTGCACTCGAATGTTTATAGCAGCACAGTTCACAATTGCAAAGCTGTGGAGACAACCCAAGTGCCCATCAATACATGAGTGGATTAATACAATGTGGTCTATGTATACCACGGAGTTCTATTCATCTATAAGAAACAACGGTGATCTAGCACCTCTTGTATTTTCCTGGATAGAGCTGGAGCCCATTCCATTGAGTGAAGTATCCCAAGAATGGAAAAACAAGCACCACATATACTCACCAGCAAATTGGTATTAACTGATCAGCACCTAAGTGGACACATAGGAATTACATATATCGGGTGTCAGGCAGGTGGGGGAGGAGGGGATGGGTATATACATACATACTGAGCGAGATGTGCACCGTCTGGGGGATGGACATGCTTGAAGCTCTGACTCGAGGGGGGAGGGGATAAAGGCAATACACGTAACCTTAACATTTGTACCCCCATAATATGCTGAAATTAATGTTATTAATTATAAAAATTTAGCAATAAGAATATTCTCACGACATTAAAAAATATTTCTTTTCTTCTTAAAAAAATGCTGAAATTAAAAATAGAATTCCAGTTTATCTATTCTCTGTTCACTGAAGAAATCGTACCTGACTGGTAACTATGTTTAGATTCTCCTGCCGCCTTCTTTGGTCCAATATTCTGTTCGGTTCCCGTGGCGATTTTGCGCGTGCATTTAGGAGGAGAGTCCGTGAGGGCTCTCGGGGGCCAACATGGAGCATGCGTGTGTCACGTGTGCTGCTCAGTGGCTGAGCTGGTGCGTGTGAGAAACAGGGAACCTGAGGTGGCAGTGGGCATGGGGCGGCCCCCGTGCTTCCCCCCGGGGGTGGGGGTGTGAACGGAACAAACAGTCCAGATTACGGGATGCAAAAAAAATGCCCGGTACGCAGGCTCAATGGAGGGCCCGGCTCTGCCCTGCAGGACTGAGTCGTTTGTAGAGGCAGCAGAAAAAATTGCTGGAGGTGCAAACCAGTGGCCTTTGGGGCCAAATAAAGCCCGTGGACTTGCTTTCTTGGCTCACTCTGCAGTGCGTGTGTATTTTTATGCATTGTCTGGGCGTCTGCAGGTGACGATGCCCGTTCCTTCTCCGCTTCTGCCCTCACGGCTGTGTGACGTGTCGTGGCAGCTTCTCGGCCCCCTAAACGCCGAGATTTGCAACTCTCACCTGGCCGTGGCGGGCGGTCTTTGCTGTCAGGCGGAATCCAACGCCGTGGCCCCTTCAGTGAGCTGCTGCAAGCTCAGCGCAGGCAAGGGCTCCTTTTCTTTAGACCGCAGGGGTCCTCAGACCTTTCAAACAAGGGGGCCAGTTCACCGTCCCTCAGACCGCTGGAGGGCCGGACTACAGTTTAAAAAAAACGATGAACAAATTCCTATGCACGCCACACGTATCTTATTTTTAAAGTAAAAAAAAACACGGGCAGAAACGCCTGCATGCGGCCCACGAGCCGTAGTTTGAGGACGCCTGGGCTAGAGAGGAAAGAGGTTTTGCAGCCAGATGAGGGTTCGGGGCTCTAGATAAGCAGGGAGGCCCGGGCAGGACCGTGGCACCCTCAAGGGCAGCCCGAGTGTGCTCAGGGGGTGAGGACAGCTCGGGCAGCAGGAAGCAGCATCAGGGCACGAGGGCAGCGTCAGCTCCTCTTGGCTGCGCCCACGCCTGGCCCACGGGCACGCTGGGCAGCGGCCCGGGACGAGGCCTCACCCCCCGTCCCGTTGCCGCCCCTGCGAGGCCTGGCCTGCACTGGGCGCGACCCCAGGTGGGAGCCTGCAGGTTTGCAGATGTCGGGGGCGGAGGGTTGCGTTGCGCTGTGGATCCGTTTTTCCCTCCCTCGTTCGTCGTCTTCCTGGCCTTGCCCTCACGCAGCAAGGAGCTGGGGTGGAGCGTGCCCATGTGCAGTGAGACGGGCATAGTAGGTGGCGACAGGCTCCGTGTGTCTCGCTCACAGACTCGCCGGAGTCTGGCCTGAGCACAGTTTGCGCCGAGAGAGATAGGGGGACGTCCCTGTCTGTCCCCGACTTTGCTGTCAAAGGGATAAATGCCGGCGGGCGGCAGTCCAGCACCCTTCCCTGTGTGCCCCTTGGGCAGGCAGGTGAAGCATATGGACCCCCTGTTGAGCTGGGATTCTAAATGCATAAAATAAAATATGTAGCGTTGTGTATTGTGTATTCAGGAAAACCAAGCAGTGAAATAATCACTGAAACAGCATTACGTCGGTTAAATAACACGATGTAGTGGAAGGTCCAATAAATACCACGGTGTCAAAGCAACGAGAGGCGCAAACAATTTTGAAAAACTTGCAGCAACTGTAGGGTGGTATGAAGATATTTGTGACTTCTATCAGTGAGAAAGCCCGAGGTAATTCTGCTACTACCACTGTGGCTTATTCATGGTTGAAGGAAAAGCCAAATTTCTTTTTTTTTGAGACAGAGTCTCACTCTGTTGCCAGGGCTAGAGTGAGTGCCGTGGCGTCAGCCTAGCTCACAGCAACCTCAAACTCCTGGGCTCAAGCAATCCTCCTGCCTCAGCCTCCTGAGTAGCTGGGACTACAGGCATGCGCCACCATGCCCGGCTAACTTTTTCCTATATATTTTAGTTGTCCAATTAATTTCTTCCTATTTTTGGTAGATACGGGGGTCTCGCTCTTGCTCAGGCTGGTTTCGAACTCCTAACCTTGAGCGATCCACCCACCTCGGACTCCCAGAGTGCTGGGATTACAGGCGTGAGCCACCGCGCCCGGCCTCGGTTTTTAAACTCATGGAAACACTAAACACAAAAAAATCGTGATGATTTCGGAATGTATCAGCGCCAGGTAAAGATTAGTTGTGACTGTGGCCTCGTCTGATGCAGATTCCGCTTGTGAACAGTGATTTATCGGAGCCGCCTCCACGTCAACACGAACCGAGACGCGTTGACCATAAAGCTGTTCTCGAAAGTGCCCACCGTGGGCCAGGTGAACCGGACGGCAGGTGAGGAGGTGCAGGTGCTGATAACGCAAGAGCCCCCACGCGGCCCGGCGTATGAGTTCTAGCTTGTTCTAGCATACTAGTGCTAGCTAGTTCTAGCTTCTCATCGCATTTATCGATTCTTTGTCTTTTTGCCTCCCCTTTGGCTCAAGGGGCCGGCTGCAACCCCGTGCAAAGCTCTGGAGGGCAGGAACGTCATCGGTTTGCTCTTAAACGCCTGGATGGAACGCAAGCAGCAGGGAGCAGCAGTCAAGGTGAGTGGAAACAGCGGGGGCCTCAGCGGTGTGGGGCCCGGTTTCCTGGCAGCAGATACGTTTTCGCAGCCCAAACCCGATCTCTCCCGGTCACGTTTGCTGTGAGATCTTTAAAAAAAATCCTCTGAGTGGAGGTGACTTGTTTTCTGGTTAGAAATAAATGATGGTGAGAGGACGGGCAGGGAGAAGACAGGACGGACGGGGTCGCGGGAATGGGATTTATGGGCTTTCACCTGCTCGTGGCGGCCAGAGAGCCCTTCAGCCGTGTCAGCCCCTCGGCAGACGCTGGGTAATCACTCACAGCGGCTCTGGGAGGCGGAGAGGTGGGCTTGTTTCGGTCAGAAGGTGAAGCAATAAATAACAAGTTAGCAAGCGTCCCTGGCCAGGCGGATGTAGACTTTGATGGATTTCCTGAGACTCTTTGGGGTCCACGAGTCCCATCTATAAACTCCAGGTTGGCTGCTAGGACATGGGACTGCAGTGGGGCACCGTTAGAGGGTCTTTTACCAGTTTGGGACGGCGCCCATCGGCCGCGACACCTCGCCCACAGCCGGCACCCACAGTCCACACGGCGGTCTGTGCTGCGCATTGACGACGCGTCCGTCTTGCTCTCGTGTGACGAGGAAAGCTTGAGAGCACTGGAAGCTTGTTCTACTTTACAGGCAGCTTTGCTTGTCATGTATATCAGAATAGGTAACGTAAACATGTATGTTTTCATGACATTATTTTTAAATGTTCACAATTTTATTTTGATAAATGAAAAATTAGAAAAGTCACATCACGGCTGTTGGCTAAAGTAGACGCCTGCGTTCATCTGTGGCTGTCGACTACAGTCGACACTGGGCTGTGCACGTTCATCTGTGGCTGTCAACTACAGTCGACGCTGGGCTGTGCACATTCATCTGTGGCTGTCGACTACAGTCAACTGCTGGCTGTGCACATCATTCTGTGGCTGTTGACTACAGTCAATGCTGGCTGTGCACATTCATCTGTGGCTGCACTACAGTCAATGCTGGGCTGTGCACTCATCTGTGGCTGTCGACTACAGTCAATGCTGCTGTGCACATTCATCTGTGGCTGTCGACTACAGTCAATGCTGGCTGTGCACATTCATCTGTGGCTGTCGACTACAGTCGATGCTGGCTGTGCGCGTTTGTCTGTGGCTGTCACTACAGTCAACACTGGTACCAAAGTGGT